ATTAATATGAATATGACTCATAACAGTCTAATATGAGATGAATACATTCACAATGGAGGCATTACAGGGGGCAGTATGATTATCCACCCCCCCCCCAATTTTTTTTTTTTTTTTTGGGGGGGGGGGCTAGGAAAAACTTTGAGATGCAGATAACCAACTAAAGTTTTTCAGAGTTATATCTCGGTCGCATGACTTGTATTTATCCCCTTGTTACTTTGTCCTAACCCTTTTTTCAGTTTGTTTTTTAAAGGCTGCCTGCAAACGTTTTTATGTTTTAAACTCTCTCTCCTCCCCCTCTATTGCTTTATCTATTTCTCCTTCTCTCTCTCTCAATCTCTCCCTCTCTCTTCCCCATCTCTTTCTCTCTTCATCTCTCTCTCTCTCTCTCTCTCTCTCTCGTAGTTCCTTTCTCTCCTTCTTTCCCCCTCTCTCTGCTATTCACTTCTTTCCCGATATCAACCGTCGATTCCCCCAACCCTTTAACAATATTGTACCAAACCCATAACTTTGAAACTTATTTTTCATTCAGTTTCTCTTCCAAGTGTCTTTATATTTTTAATCTCTGCTGAATAGCTAAAATGACGACCATTTAGATGTTTACGACATGTTTCAAGCATAAAGCCAATTTGCAAATGACAAAGATGTTTATTACCAATGGTAAATTGCTTGATGACTTCACAATACAAGAAGTATATTCATCTGCTAAGTTTTCACAATTTTTACAATTTGTTTTATTCCACATTTGGTAATGTCAAACTGATTAAGTCTTTTCAAATAACCCCAAAATGAGATGTCAAGGCAAACATGTGACAAGGTGTTGTTATTTTGTTCACAAAAACATTTGTACACGATCATTTCGGTTTACTGTATTCTGGGTAAAGATTGACAGCGCCTTTTCATAATCATCTTTTAAATATGGATTTCCATTGTTTCCAATAGTACTCAGTAAAGAATACCGAATTGCTTACGTCATATTCGCTTGTCGTGAAGTTACCGATTCTAAACAACAGTCAGAGCATACGCATGAGGTTCAACGTGAAATCATTCGAGCTTCCTGCTGGAGCAGGGCAAATTCAGTGTTTGGTGCTTGGGTGATCACCACACCATTGTTGAGCACAACATTGTTTCGAACCAGAAACCTTGACAACTTAGCCATTATGACGTCATACTTTAATACTCTGTGCTACAGCTATTTTCATGACTGTGTAATATGAATGACCATGGTCTCCTGATAGATAACACAACTGTGTAACTTTTTTCATTGTATAGCATGTTCATTTGAATTAATCTTCTACACATCAAAATAATTATAACAAACAAAATATACAAAATAAACAAACAAGAAATAAACTCAAGCAATAATACACAATTTGTATTGTAGGCCTATATTCCACGGAATAACAGAAAACTACTCATCCCCTAAAGAAGACAAAAAGATGAAGGAAAATAATACACAATAAATCAAACAAAACAATTAAACTGACTAAGGAGATTTAGTTATTACAAGTAGTTTCACAGGGATTTAAATAAAGTATAATGCAGACATCTACATATCGTGTGTGAGTGAGATGGAAAACACCGTGTAATTTGTCATTATTTTAGCATCTCTTCTATCAAAATATGGCAAAGATGAATATTTCTCATAGCAAAATTATAAAACAAAAGGTCTTGCGAATACTGGGTATTACAAAGCTATGTACATATCATGAGTTAACTTCCAATGTAAATACTTCTTGATATAAACGGAGTCTTTGCAACGTATTTAATTGCTATATTATTCATTCTATCAAACAAACTTGTCGAAAAACGTATAGTTACAGGAAACACAACAAAAATGTGCAATTTAAAAATCAACAAGGTTATTTTTACAAAAAATGGGTATCATGCAGTTATACAAACATAATCATGAGCATACTTTTCATGTGAATAATTTCTTGATAGTTAAGGAGACTATGCAACCTTTATAATTGTTATATTATTTAATCTATCAAATATGCTTGTAGGATCATAGATATAAACAAGTTACATAGCAAAATGGTAAATCAACAAATTGAATGTTACACAAATTTAGTGTAAAGCAGTTATATACATGTCATAAGTTGGATAATAAAAAAAGCATGTGGATTTGTTTTCCTTTTATTTCTCTTATCCTCAAGCGAGGTTTCAATTTACATAAATTCAATAAATATTTATATTAATAACTAAATGAATGAGTTAAACATAACATAGGCTAACAATTAAAGTATATTTAATAATTCTTCCAGCTTAGTACTATTTTAGTATTATTTTATTGTTAGACCATCTCTGCAGTCAAACTCCTAATCAAAGATTGACATATGTTATAGAAAAACATTTAACCAACAAAGTTCAAACTTACAAATACTGGGTATTAAGCTGTTATGTACATATCATGAGCATACCTGAAGCGTAAATCATTTCCCTATATATAACGAGACTTTGGAACCTGTTTCATTGTTCCACAACATTTATTTGTTCTCATGAATATAATTCTTTGATACATATATCAAATTTTCTCATAGCAAGATGAAAAATCAGCAAAACCGAATGATGCAACAACTTTGTTTATACAGCTATTTACATGTTGAGAGTGTGTTAGGAAACAAGATTGCAACTCATTCCAATGTTATATCGTTTGTCCTGGCAAAAGATTACAAATCAAGGATTTAACTGTCTCATACCAAAGTTTTAAAAAAAAACGTGTAAATCTTACAAATACTGGGTATTTTGCTGCTTTATACCATTCAAAAAATGATAATATATTCGTTTTCTTAATTGTAAATTTAATTGTTATTTTATTCATTCTATGACATATATTTTTTGAATAGATATATCAACATATCTCATAGCAAAATAAAAAGTCAACAAATTGAATCAATCAAGAAACTCACTATACAGCTATTTACATGTTGAGAGTATGTTAGCCGATCTTGACAGAACTCTGCAACTTATTTTAGCATCACTTCTATCAACAAAATATATATAACCAAAAGTATCATATACAAAAAACAATAAAACAAACAAGTTGAATCTTACAAATACTTGGTATTATACAACTACATTTATTTACATGTTTACATGCATTTAGCATATCAGAGAAGAAGAAAAAATGCTGTATGATACATTACAATGCCATGCAACTTATAGCATAATACGTTTACCAGTGCGTTAGATATTGACCAGAAAAAACGAATATACCGTTTAAGTTTTTCTCAGTAGTAGGATTGGTAGAAAATGTTTGTCCTTTTCATTATTTTCTCCATAAATATTAGAAAAGGAATATCTTGTTTACTCATGACTATAAAATACATGTGTTTTGGTTTCTTTAGCTGGAAAACAATCATTCCATTTGAAACTTTCAAACGAATATACATGTACATGTACTGAGTGTAATGCAGCTATGTATATACATGTACATATCAATGAGCGTGTTTAGTGTACATGTTGTGTTTGTGGAGCCATACAGGCAGGCAGTAAACTTAGTACATTTAGTTTTCTCCCTCCTGGCTCTAAACGGATTATATACATGTAGTCTCTTAATACAGGGGTAAATTATCTTTCATTGATGTATGATATGGTCAATAAAGATATAGATAAACATGTCTCATAATAGCAAAATTAAAAAGAACAAGATCAAGAAACGAATTGAAATACAAATACTCCTTATATAATGCAGCTATTTACATGTAAATGTTATATATTTGAATATTTGATTCGGTTTATTGAAATAAAAGAACATGCAGCTGGGAAGCTGAAATTATTCAATTTACAAAGTCAATATACAACACAATAAACGAACAAAATATGAATGACTAAAACGTACGACTATAAATCATGCAAAATGAGAATCAAATATTACATCAAAATCTAAATATATTACAAACATTACGTTAAAATTCAGATATATTACAAATATTTAAAAAAATTAAAAACCTTCTGTGTCACCAAAAAAGTAGGGAGAGAGAGAGAGAGAGAGAGAGAGAAAGAGAAAGGCGGAACTAGAAAGAGGAATAGAAGGAAGAAGAAAAAAGAAAGAAAAAGTTGATCAGGGAATATAAAAAATGTCTAAGCATGTGTGATGTGAATAGTTTATGGATAAATAGGAAGACTCTGCAACAATTTTTTCCCTCAAATGACCTTAATCAATATGTAACAGAGGAAAATGAAAAATGTCCAAATTTGAATCTTCTTTAATCTTGGTATAATGCACGCATTAATATATGTTATGAGCCGTATCCGGACACATACCCCCTGGACATCCACCCCCGGATAACCACCCCCAGTCAACTACCCCCTAGGCCAACTACCCCCTAACACAACAACCCCCTAGGACGACTCCCCCCCCCCCCCCGGGACAACTACCCCTCGGACAACTACCGCCCAGACAACTACCCCCTAGGACAACTACCCCTAGGACAACTACCCCCGGACAACTACCCCCAGGAGAACTATCCCCAGACAACTACCCCCTACGACAACCCTCCTCTAGGACAACTACCCCCGGATAACTATCCTAGGGGGTAGTTGTCCGGGGGTAGTTGACTGGGGGTAGTTATCCGGGGTTGGATGTCCAGGGGGTAGGTGTCCTAGAACCGTTATAAGCATATTTCACGTGATTAGTCTTTTGACAGATAAGGAAACTCTGCATCGTATTGCGCTGTTATAGCATTTTATTAACAGTGGTATATTTTTTTTTACTAGAGTCACTATGTTTTGAATTCCATTATTGCATCTTTGTATATTCTCTTCCTTTTTGTATTCTTTAATTCATTGCACAAACCTGGCTTGAACCTTGTTATGGTTATTGTAATTGAACTTATGCAAGTTCATGTATTGCTATACTTTTCTTTGAAATATAGACATTGTTTTTTAATGTGACAATTTCTTATCCTGTATATCATATAATCATTGCTAATCTAGATATTTGTTATAACACCCGTATTGGGATCTGCATGTAATTAAGGGGATGCTAGTGATGATAGCCATATCATATGTTTATGTACATGCGTGTGTATACGTAGGGAACATGGAAAATTGTAATCAAAGAGGATTTGATTTAGAGGGTAAATCTGTTTTTGAATACGAGAATGTTTTTTCCATCGTTAGCAATCAGTTTCCCTGATGGCGTCATGATCACGCGAGACGATACAAGTAACCACTCCCTAAGCACCGGTGGGTCCAATTCTGTTGATACAGGGAATGATGCTACTCTTCTCTTCTTCATTTCACCCCCACTCATCACCTGATCAATCACACACGTATTATACTCATCATCTGATGTCACGACGTAGAGGTCGTCTGTCATAGGATCGATGCAGACACTCAGGATCGTATCACTGTGGTGGATTTCCCTATGAGCACCCTGTCTGTCGATGATGAGCACTCTGTGATCTGGTGTTGAGGGTTGTGCGATGATGTGACCTGATGATAGCAGATCATGCATCATTATATTCTCCTTACACGTGATGGTATTCATGATCTTACCATCAGCTGGTTTGATGACGTATATCTTAGACTCTCCTGCATCAGCAGCGATAATCATCCCATCCTGGTCAACAGCTACATACACCGCTGCTTCTTTAAGCGCTGTGTCTTTTGGTATTGTGACGTCATTGATGTGCTTCCATTGTCTGTCATACACACTGATGCATCCAGTCAAGCTGTCCCCTGTACACCCTTCACCTATTACTTTACCGCATACTACCTTGTCATCATTCAACAATGCACTGGATGAAACACATGATGTACCACCACTACCGGTTATCACTCTCTGAGTGTGTCTAGTGTTCATATGTAACATGTATGTACCTGATACTAGATCATTGATTATCACATTGTATTCATCAATGTATCCTGCAATGATCGGGAATTCGATTTTATCTTTGATATTGATTGTATTAATGAGCTTCCACTCCCCATCATACCCATCAATCCTCCCATCATACTTCTCTCTCCCAGCACCTTTCATAAACCTCACACCCAATATGGTACCAGTGATTTGTTCCACCTCACCCTCATTCAGTGGCTTCTTTAATATACCACTCACTGATGTTTTCACATGATGCCCATCTTTGACGATATTTTTTTCATCTTCAAGTACTGTGCCAAGTGTCTTTATTATATTCTCTGTGGTTTTTGTATCATCTTGCCATGTGTTCTCCAACTCACCAATCTTTCTTTCTTTCTCTTCAGCGATGTTCTTAATGTCTGTTTGAAGACTAAGTTGTTTATTGTTGATTGGTTCTCGTCTTCTTTCTGCATCTGTACGGTTAAGTTCAAGTCGCTTCTCTCTCTCCTCATCGTTTTTACGAATATTTTCATTGATCTTTGGAATCTTCTCTTCAAGTTTCTGATTCTTGTCATCAATCTCCTGGTTGATTTTCGCAGCATCCTCCTTCTCTTTGTCCTTGTCTGTTTGGATCGCCTCATTGATTACCGAATCAACCTCACCTTTCAAAGCTTGTAGATGGGTGTCGGTGTATTTCCTACACTGGCGAATCTGATCTCCATAAACTCGACAAAGCTTTAATTTGTCCTTTGCCTTTTCTTTTAGAGTGGTTAGAATCGCTATATTTTCCATGATGGCGCCCTCTATATCCTGTCGCACGCAACCCTGCCCCATGATGATCTATATGTGCGCACGAATAACACAATCCTAGAACATGTTTTTTACAATACAGTTTCTTTTCTTTAAGTGAGTTACAATTGAGTTTCTCACAATAAAAAAAGGACCCACCCTTTCTTGCTTTTTCCGATGCTTCCCCCTTGGGGGGGCGCAGCCACCGCAGAGCTTCTTCTCCTTTACGTATACGTTACATTTGTGATTGATTCACAGTTCTCTCCTTCATAGATGTGTTCTGCAGAGCTGAATCTAGCCGCCATCCTGATCGGAGTATTGACCTGCAGAAAGAACGATTTCCAAGAGAGAAAGAGAGAGAGAGCGAGAGAGGGGGGAGTAGAGAGAGAGAGAGGGGTGGTGAGGGGAAAAATGGGTAGGGTGGATGGGTGCGGGAAAGACAGAGGGGACAGGGAACGGTGATAGAAGGAGGGATAGATGAAGGAGCAGAGACAGAGAAAGGAAGGGAAAGACCACGCGAGAATAGAGAATAGAATATATTTATTACAATGACCTCCATTGGTAAAAATTTACTGATGTAAATTTCAGATCAAAAGAACATTAAAGTGACTCGGTAACATTGTTGAAGGTTGATACAAAAAAAACTTTGTAATTTTTGTATGAAATGTAACTTATTTTATTCCTTCTACTGTACTTATCATCGAACAGGCAAAAAATCATGAGAACTTTTTCAAACCACAAAGATATTTATCGTTTCCCTTAAAGGCGTCATACTGTGCAACACCCTCTCACAGAGATTAACAGTAAATTCTCCCAACCATTTTTGAATTTTCCCAACCGTTTTTCCATGACACTAAGACATAAAACAGGCTATTAAAAATATGTCAACACTTAAATGTCTGGAATGGTATATAGAGCCAAATAATTTCTTTGTGACGATTTACATTCACCTAAAATGTAATTAAATTGTAATAATATAGCTGAGAGAATTAACGAAGCGATCAGATCAGTTTTTCCCAATTTTAATCACTAATTATGGTCCGTTTTCACTCAAACTTTCAGACTATCTTTAATTGTACATCTAGCATTGAAGTTACTACCTAAGCACCTTTTTCTCTCAATTTAACAATGCTAATAAGTCCCTTTAATGGAAGGCAGTGTATTTTATTCGGTGAAATTGCTTTTAATTCTATATAAAAAGGTAATTTACTGTTTTTCTCATTCATTTTTAAAAACAATTATATGGTCTTGAATCTGCAACAACCCTTTAAAAAATTACATTAAAAAATCCACTGAAATGTAGGCCTACATGAAATTTAAGTAAAATTAATAGTTTCTTTCAGTCTAAATCTTTATAATGTAATTTCATTACACATGCTTTGCAAAATTTAAATGTTCTTTCTACAAGATTATCGTGACTGGAAACATTGAATTCATATATCTATTTGTATATTTTTCATGAATCTGTACAATTAATAGGTAATACTATTTTAGCGAAATTGACATATTGATCCTTTTGTTTTGCGTAGGTATAGGATTGTGCGCGCGATGATAGAGCAGTCTCTTTTTGCAGTGATATTATCAAGTGGTCGAGACATGTGGAGCAGTGTATGCAAAGCTTTATAACTGCAATGAAAAAGTGATGTAATATAAAATTACCTGTTGTTGAACCCCGTAGCATGTAGTGGACTCAATAAGTGGAGGGGGGAGGAGGGGGCTGGGGTGCTCCAGTCTTTTTTCTTCGAGATCAGCATTTTTACCTTTTTTGAATTAACGGCACCACTTAAGGAGTTTTCACGCCACCCTTATCCAAAATTCATAAGAGGATTCGTTTTTCATCCCTCGTACCCATGTATAAATGCATAAGCACAGTTTCGTGTGAAAGCCTCTCGCTTGAAAAAGTACTATCTGGATTCCAGATATTGTGAGGCAGCGTGCACAACATTATATTCAAACAACTCGTTGACAGGAATCATCCTGATTTATCATTTTAGCGTGAAGTAAGGCGAACGAATAGAAACATATTTCAATATGCAGTACAAGACTCGAAATAGGGTCATATTCGGGCGCCGTGTTGCCCGAATCATGATAAACTTCGGGCAGTGAGGAATAGAGAAAGAAAGAAAGAGACATTTATAAAGAGATATTGATCACATTTCTTTTCATATTGTAGGCCCTGATCTATGTGAAAACTTTCATATTGGATTGTTACTTCTTATTCTCATCTTTCTTCCTCCAGATAAGACAAACATACCCCATCCCACATACATACACCTGTTTCTCCTTTTATTGCACAATTACCTTTTTATCAACCACTTCTTTCTATGACACCAACCTTGTTCACAGCAAAATGACCAAAATACAATGTACAGCTTACCTTAATTACCGGTTTCTTGCAATATTAACCTTTGTAATGTGTAAGAAAGAGAGTTGATCATCTAGATGCTGCTATCATAAATCATACTTCATCTGAAGGAGAACTATTCATCCAACCTCTTTGTAGTATAATTATGTGCAAATCAAGATGGCGTGTAGTTGTATGCCGTCCCACGTTTAATAAACTGATGCTCACTTGCTATTGATTGGCTCATAAATTTATGAGAAATTGCCACGCACGCATGCATACAGTGGATGGATATAGCAATCACATAGCAACCCCACAAACAAACACCGTATGAGCGTTGACAAAAGGTGTGCTCCGTCGTTCTTTGTGAATAGATTAGTATGAATATGATTTCCATGGTCATCAATAGTACTCAGTATAGAGTACTATTGATACTGTTAACGTCATATTCGCTCGTCGTCCAGGTTACTGGTTCCGTACTACAGAGTATGTGTATGAGGTTCACCGTAGGAAGGGGTCAAAGTCAGTGGTTGGCGCCTGGGTGATCACCACGCCAGTGTTTGGCACAACATTGCTTGGATCCAGCACCTTGACTGCGCCAGTATTACGTCATACTTCGGTACTCTATGCTACAGCTATATGTATGACTATGTAGTAAGCATGGTATCCTGATAGATAACAAAACTGTGTAACTTATTTCATTGTATAGCATTATTTGTAATTGGAGCCAGTAGGATGCCTACAAACCTGTACATGTACTTGTGTAAAGTTAAATACATGGATGATACATTGACATATACAACTAACAACCATATTATTCATAACCCTTGTAGGTTTGATGTTTTGTGTTGTTTTTCGTAACTCAAGAACGAGAGGTGGGCTGGTTGGATCAGCGCCTTTGTTGAATAATGTTGAAGTTAAGCGTGTATATGTCACAATCTCAAGAAACATGAATCTGAACGTATCAATTTTTTTCTTCAAATACATATACTTATTACAATTACAACACTTGATTAGGGTATGAACAATTTAGCTGTTTAATACTGTACATGTATGTGTATGTATATACATGTACATGTATATACATCAACATGTCTTTTTAGTATTAATGAATAGTCTGCTGAGAGCCAGAAGGGTGTTTAATCATATGCTTTGACATACATGTAGATTGTAGAGTTAATATCCTTCAGGCTCCAAGTAGATGAAGCAGGAAATTATGTTGCCTTTGATCATTTCCTTCCGTATGTTGGACTGCTATATGTATTTACTTCTTGAAAGTTATTTGTGATTCTGCACATGTATGTAATTAAGAATGTCTTTTCTTTTTACAATGAATAGTACATTTTTCTATGAATCATTTATATTTTCAGCATTCATTCTTTCATGATCGATGAAGGTTGTATAATGTGCCTTGTTCACACATAACATGCTTAACCACCTAAAAAGATAAATCTGCAATGAGCGATGTGTTAATGTGTCCTATATAATATGTGACTTTTATCCATTTATTTCATCCTAAAATTATCTCCTGATATGAACTCTAACTAATGTCTGTTCCGATATTACTAACATTGATTATTGGTCATATCACGAGTTTTGTTTTGATTTTGGGATGAAATATATGGAGTCTATGTAACGTGAGGGTACTGTAGTATGATGATTCTTTTTCAACCTACTTTTAATCAGTGTGCTTTAATAGACGATTCAATAATACATTAACTAATAATCTAAAGTACAGTATCTGTTTGATTCGGCTTAAAATACATCTTTCTCGTATACATCCATGAACATTTAGCTGAATGGCATGTACCCTAAATGCATAATGCGCCCCTCCCCCTCTTTTTCTCACTCAATTCACTAGTGCCCCTCATTGGCTCGACCCATGGTTCAACACTGTAAATAACTTGAGTTCTCATTATGATTATCTGTTATTAGTTGTTTCTCCCTTTCCTTGCCTCTTTTCTCCCCCTTTCTTCTGTATCCACTTGCTCTTTTCTTCCCCTCTTTCTTTCTCTTTCTCTATTGATTCCTTTCATCCCCCACTTTCTCTCTCCCTCCCCTTCTCTCTCTCTCTCTCTCTCTCTCTCTCTCTCTTTCCTTCTATCTCCTACTCCTTGTTATCACTTTCTTTCACACTATCCCTTTTGATACCCCTATCCCCATTACAAATATTGCAACAAACCAACAACTTCAAACTTCTTTTCCACCAAATTGTTCTTCCAAGTGTCTCTGTTAGTATTACATTGTTTCATCATGATCTTTCTCTTTCTTTCACTACAGCTGTGTATAGTGATTTTCTTTGATTTCATCTTTTACTCTAGTGTTTCTTGATAATTTGATTTTCAATTAATTTCAAAATTTTCACTATAACGAATCTTGTAAATTATATGCTTAAGTGCATGTTGCGCCGCTTCCCCCTTTTTTGTTTCTACTCCTATTTCAATGTTGCTCCCTCTGTAACTGGAACCATGCTACAAAACTGTTCACATCTTTGTTTCTATTAATTCATTTCTTCTTTGATTTTATCTTCCTCTCTCTTTCTTCCCCTTTTTTTAATCAAAATTTCCTGTCATGTGTCTCTGTTACATTGTTTCCTCGTTATTTTTCTCATTCTTTCTCTGGCGTTGTGTGTAGTGTTTTGATGTGATTTCATCTCTTGCACTATAGTGTTCCTTGACAATTTGATTTACAAATAATTTCAAGATTCTCACTATATCAAATCTTGATAATTACATGTATGAACATTTAGCTGAATGGCATGTACCCTAACTACATGTTGCCCCTGCCCCTATTTCCTTCCCTATTTCTGGTGCCTCCTAATTGGCTGGACCCATGCTACAACATTGTTAATATCTTAACAACTTCTTATTGTGAATATCTGTTATTAGATGTCTGTCCATCTCTTTCCCTCTTTTTCTCCCTCTCTCTTTCCTTCTAAACCACTTTTACTCTTTTAATCAGCGCTATCACCTTCCTTCTCATTGCTCTTTATATTAATTAATTTCTTTCCCCACTTTCTCTCTCTCTCTCTCTCTCTCTCTCTCTCGTTCTCGCTCTCTCCCTTTCCCTGGTATCGTTTATTTTCACACCATCCCATTACAAAAATTGCCACAAACAAACTTAAAGTATCGTTTCCATCAAATTTTCCTTCCAGGTGTTTCTGATTTCTTTGTTTCACGTCGCCAAAATCTAAAAGTCATCAGAGTATTTGTTTTCCATCTAGTACACATAGACGTATATGGGCACATTTTAGTGTGAAGCCTCTCACCCGAACATATACTATCTGGATTCCAAATAATGTGAGCAAGCAAGCCAAACATTATATACAGTCATCTCGTTGCCAGGAATCATTTTGCGAGAAATGAAGCAAACGAGTGGAACAAGACACTTGTTATGGCACAAATTCGCCCACAAATTCATGGGCATTTTTCACTCATGCATGCATACAGTGCATGAATATGACAAGTACAGGTGTAGAGAGAAAAAGAAGCACTTGTGCCCCAAACACATAATAAATGAACTTTGACAAAAGATATGCTCCGTTGCTCTTTGTAAATAGATATGAATCATAGTAGTCTAACATGAGATGAATGCATTCACGTGCCTTGTGATCTCAATAGAGGCATTACAGGGGACAGTACGCTCATCCAGCCCCCCCCCCCCGAAACAAAGTTTCTATTGTGCTAGAAACAAACTATTAGATGCAGATAACCAGTTGTAGTTAGTCAAAGTTCTTGAGAGTTATTTCTCAGCCGCATGACTATTCCAGAATCTGACATATTTAACTTTGATCTCCACCGCACTTATATATGATTAGGGACATGCATTATGGTTCAAGGCATGCCCAAGTAAAGGATTGTTTTATGTTGGGGATCGGGGCAAAATGCAATGAATTATTGATGATTTATTGCATTTTTTTTGTTTTTGTATTTGGGGCGGCCCCGTACCCTAGCCCCCGATCCGTACAGTCATGATTCAGTGGTTAAGCAATGGCCTCGTTACTGTGAGCCCCCAGGATCAAGACCGTGTCGATGTCCTATATTAGTGAGGCACTATCCTCATTACTGTCAGTTATGACTTAAAGACGTGGGTCCCCTAGTTGATTAGCATTGTAGCACACACACGCTTTGGCAGTCACGCAAAACAAACACTCACAAATTATTATTCAATACAATCTGAGAATGTATACTATTATCTAGATCTTTTAGGAATAAATCATTTTCAAAATATTTCCATAAATTGGGGTAAAAATAATTATTCCACCATTATGACCAACAGTGTATGGACATGTCGCCGAATAGGATGAACCTAAGTGCACGTTGCCCCCCCCCCCCTTCCCCCTATTTCACTGGTGCCCCTCGTTGGCTGGACCAATGCTACAACAACTTAATCTGAACATGTTCTCATTATGATTATTTATCATATGTTCTCCCCCCCCCCCCTCTCTCTCTCTCTCTCTCTCCCTATTTTTTCCTCATCTCTATCCTACTGGTATGACCTGGTATGAATAAACGTATGAATAAACGTATGAATAAAGAGTGGCCTACTTGGGATACTGAATAAACACTGTCTTCTATATAAACATTTCAAGGCTACGACTCGCAGGCCCAGGTTTAAAACCAGCTGGCTGATCATACATTCACATTCTTACTGTCCGAACCTCGCGTATCTCATTCTATTATATCCCAAGTTGGCCACTCAATATTCAAATTTGCATTTTCTTTTTTCTTTTTTAAATCTTTTTATATTTTGTTCCTCCATATTTGTATTATTATGTATCCTTTGAGGGTAGTCATACTATCAAGCTTTGCTTATTTTGTCAACCCTCCTGTTTGATGCTTTCGATTAGTTACAGCCAGCCTTACTTTATTCTACATATATTCTTTTGTCATGTGTAAATTTGCAATATTTGTTTGTTATATATTTGTAAAAATGCAAAAGAAAAAGAAAATCAAACAGAAATAAGTAAATAAAATCAAATCAAAACTTTATCCTCTTTCTTTTTCTACCCCCTTCATTCTTTCATTAATCATCACGCATCTCTCTCTCTCTCTCTCTCTCTCTCTCTCTTTCTCTCTCTCTCTCTCTCTCTCTCTCTTCCCCATCTTTCCTCTTTTATGTGATTTCAATATCTGGTATACTAGTGTTCCTTGAGTATTCGATTTTCGAGTCATTTCAAGATTGTCACTATAACGAATATTGTAAACTACATGTATGAACATTTAGCTAAATGTCACCATTGGCATGTACAAATTTACGTTGCGCCCCTCCCCCTATTTTAATGCTGCTCCCTCATTGGCTGGACCCATGCTACTACGCTG